CCACTTATCACCTGCTGCCGGGACAGGCCTGGCCTGGCCTATAAATAGCCCACTTCCTCTACCTGGCCCTGCCTGGCGGGGACCCGGGCCTGCCCGTCCTCAGTTATCTGACCCTCAAACAACAACAACTGGCCTCTGCGTGCCCTCTGGATGGTGCCCTGGGCCCGGACGGGCAGATCCTGGGGCTGGGCTGGGTCAGTCACACTGCAGCGCAGCCCGGACCAGCCGGTCCGTCCGTGTGACCAGCCAGTGGTTGACCTCTCTCAGCCTCAGTTTCCGCATCTTTCAAACCTGCCAGGCGGGTGAGAGTGCCGGTGCGGGCAGCCCCGAAGCACCTGGCTCACGCTCAGTGCCCGCGCGTCCACCACGGGGCCTCTGCACTTGCTCCCGGGAGCGGCGGGAGAGAGGACCGGACCCAACGGGCAGTCCTCCTGGCCCCCGAGCACGTCTGAGTCCCCGAGCCGGCGGGCAGCCTCTGCCGGCCACCGCCACCTGGATTTCTAACAGCCTGCGGCTCGGACCAACGGACACCGAGCGACGAGAGCCACAGCCTCAGAGGCCAACAGAGCGGGCCCTGCGGCTGGAGCCAAGCACAGACAGGGGGCCCCTGGGACACCTCGCTTTGAGGCCCACACTGAAGCATGCCAGTCTGTCAGACAGCTCTGACTGCACTCATTCAGTCATTCATTCATTTCTTCATTCATCAAATACTTTGCCAGGTACCGGGTAGGTGCCTGAAACGGAGCAAAGCGTAGAGCCAGACGTGAACCCTGACCCTGACCGTGGGGGACGGTGCTGGCTGCTTCAGGGGTCAGCCCTGGGGAGCGGGAGCTGAGCTTGAAGAAGAAACATGTGAAGCCAGAACCCAAGCAGCCTCACTGAAAAGCAGGGCTCCGAGACCTCTGTGCACACGCCGGCGCCCGAGGGGCTGAGGGTGCCATGGGGAGAGGGCACCAGGAGGGGGGGCACCGCCCACAGCCTGGCACACCCGCCCGAGCCAAATGGGGGAGGGGAGTCCACCCTGATCGAGGACACGGTTCTTCCGGCCGCTGGACCCCGCCGCTGGGCTCTGTCTCCCACACGATTCCAGGCCCAAGGCCGGGAGGGAGACAGGCAAGCCAGGCCCCAGTGCAGGCACAGCAGCGGTGAGGGGACTGGGCCTGGGAAGGGCGGCCGGGCTCGGGAGGAGAGAGGAGCCACCGACAAGAAGATTTGGCTCTCAGAGCCTGCAAGTCACCAAAAGGCACAAGATGCCCTGGGGACTATGTCCAAGCTGGAGCTGAAATTCAAGCCCAGTGCATGGCTCAGTGGTTGAGCGTCGACCTATGAACCTACAGGTCACAGTTCGATTCCTGGTCAGGGCACGTGACCGGGTTGTGGGCTCCATCTTCAGAAGGGGGCGTGCAGGAGGCAGCCGATCGATGATTCTCTCTCATCCATGTTTCTATCTCTCTCGCCCTCTCCCTTCCTCACGCTCTAAAATAATCATAAAAAAAACATTTTTTTTAAAAAAAAGATGAAATTCTTAAGGAGGTGAGCAAGTCCCCTGCGATTTGAAGCGATGCGCTCAGCAGTTACTGAGTGGCCGCCACATGCCAGGCACGGACCTTGGCCTTGGGCTTTAGAGGAGATGGAGACAGACCCAGTCCCAGCTCTCACAGAACTTGCATCCTCCTGCAGGAGACAGAGAACAAGGGAACACAGAAATGACCAAGAGGCTGGAGGAAATCATATCAGGGCCCTAAAAACGGGGTGACCTGGTGAAGCACCTCGGGAAGAGGGCAGTTCCTTCAGAAAGACCGACAAGGGCCGGCACCTGAGTGATGAAATGGAGCCAGTCATGGGAGGGATGGGGGAAGCACTCAGGCAGAGGGCAAAGGACGTGCAAAGGCCCTGAGGCAGGAAGAGGCTTGGCAAGCTGGGGAGAGATAAAGTGGGGGGAGCTGAACACAGAAGGTTGGAGAAGAAACTGTGTCCATCCTTCTTCTAAGTCATGGGGAGGAATCTGGTTCGGTTTTACTTGCAGCAGGAAGCCATTAGTTTTAGGTGGGAGTGACGTGATGTAAATTCTGTCTTAAAACGATGATTCTGAGTGTGTGGGAGAGTGGATCACAGGGAGGAAGAGCAGAAGCAGGGAAACCACAGGAGGCGGCAGAGGGTGATCTTTCCTGACTCAGGGGGGAGGGCTCCCACTGGTTTAATGGAGCATCGGCTGTGGACCGACACCATCCCAGCAGGCACAGGGCTCAGGTGTGCTGAGGGCCCCAGCAGAGGCCAGTGCAGGAGTCTGAGTGGGAAGTGATGCAGCGTGGACAGTGTGGTGGCCGTGGGACGACAGAAGGGCCTGGTCCTGGGACCCACGGATGGACTGGCTCAAGGGAGGGAGAGGGAGTCCAGGAAGCATCCCCTGGGATGGGCCTGCGAGAGTGAGCGGCTGGATGGAACCCAGGAGCCCATGCCGGGTCCTCGCCATTCATCTCCCTGGAGAAGGGAGGCCGCCTTCGAATCCGCCACCTTCCCGCACACGGCAGGGTGTGCGGGGCCAGGAGACTGTGTGGGGCCAGGAGACAGAGGAAGAGCAGCAGCTGAGGAGGACCCTCCGGCCGGGGTGTCTAGGACAGAGGAGACTTGAGCCCCCCAGGGGCCAGCCGAGGGGCAGGAGGCTCCCCCCAGGAGCAGAGCTGAGCGGGCTTAGCTGCGTGTGCACTGACCATCCTTCCTTCCTGTGGGCAAGTCAAGCTCACCCCCAGGGCAGGCAGGTGACCACAGCACGGAGCCAGCTGGCCCAGCCTGTGGCCTGGAGCTGAGGGACCACATCAAGGTGCAAAGCCCAGGGGACCCCACTGGTCATCCCTGGCAGCGACTTCCTGAAGGCCTGCTCCAGGGACGATGGCATCACGCAGCCCCTGGCTGCTCAGAGGCCGCTGGTCAGGCAGCCAGTGTCCCCACGGGAAGTGGGGCCGGGGAGCCACCCGCGGAGGGAAGTGGATCTTTGCTCTGCCCTGAGGAGCAGCTGGCTTGGACGGCCGCCCCCAGTCTGAGCTCCTGAGACCAGCAGGCCAAACAGTAACATGATCCCCGTGTGCGTCCTCCTGGGAATCTGTCCTGGGAGGCCCCGGGCACTGGCATCGGCGGTTCCAGAAAAGCAGGGCAGAGAGCACAGAGCCCGATGCCTTCGGGGGCGAGGCCTGCGGGCGGGGCCACCCACCTGCACAGCCACCACGGCCTCCAGGCCACAGCCTCCCGAGATCTCAACAGGGACCCACAGCCACAGCCTCACCCCCAGAACAAAGCGGGTCTCCGCCGGGGCCAGGCTCGCCTCTCGCTGACGAAAGAACAGCCCATTCATTCGCTCAAACAGTCGTCTTCACCCTCCTCCGCGGGGCCAGCGCGGCCCAGGAGGCCTTCCCAGAGCTTGCTGGCCAGGCGCTGGAGGGGGCACACGCTTCATGCCAGCACCCCGGGGCCCAGAGCACCGCCGAAGCTCTTGCTCATCAGGGAGGCGGAAGAACTTCTAAAAATACACGCGAGGCCGTGTAAGTGAGTCAGGACGAGCTGGCAGGGGAAGGTGAAACAGAGGAATAAGCACAAAGGACACCGAGCCCTGCCCGGGGGATGGGACAGGGGAGAGGTCAGCCACAGGGGCACTCACTCACTCACTGATTCAATCACTCACTCACTCACTCACTCATTCACTCACTCACTCACTCACTCATTCACTCACTCACTCACTCACTCACTCACTCACACACACCGAGCAGAGACAATGACACACGGGAGTGGACTGATCCAGGCACCTGGCTGAGCCGGGGTCCAGGGAAGGCTCCCGGAAGCAGCAGCACAGCCTTGAGGCCTCAGGGAGGAGCAGGACCGGCTGGGATTCCCCGGGAAAGGGTCCTAGAGAGGAGGATGCAGGGCGCCCACCCCCATCCTGACCGCTCTCTGTTTTCTTTCAGCCCATGACACTGGTCTCGTGACCCTACAAGTTGCCTTCAACAACCAGATCATCTCTAACTCCGTGGTGTTTGAGTACAAAGCGCGGGCCCTGCCCACACTCCCCTCCTCGCAGCATGACTGGCTGTCACTAGACGGTAAGGCAGCGCGGTCACTGTGCCAGGCGCCGTGGGGAGGGACACGGGGGACCAGGTGTGGGAAAGGAGGACGTGTCCGGGTGTCCATGGTCCTGACCAGAGAGGGTGTCCACCCCGGGAGGCCGGACTGGGTCTCTGCCCTCAGTGGGTGTCTCCCGGGGACAGAGGAGCATGTGAGCTTGGCCTGCAGCTGTCACTCTGGCAGCGGATCCGAGTGGCCAGTGGCCGGACCAGCCCCCTGGTTGCTGCGAGGCCCTTCTCTGACAGACCCCGAGCAGCAGGGTCCTAGCACCCTCTGCTGCCCCCAGGGCTGTCCCTTGAAGCGCCGGGAGGCCATGAGGGAGCCCCCAGCTCTCAGAGACGGAAGCGTGTGGGAGGCTGGGCGAGGCGTGGGGCTGGGCCGCTCTCAGGTTCCGAGCCTGGACCTCGAGCGAGGCTGTGTGTGAAATGCTCCTGCCTCTTCGCGGTAAGGAGCCAAACCTTCTCAGGGACGCCCTGGAACGCCCGTCCCCCGTGTCCAGGCTGGTTTTACTTTCCCTCTGCCCTGGAGAGCATCTGCAATACCCCAGGATTATGACCGTGGCTGAGGGGGTGGGCCAGGGAGCCCCAAAAGGCTCCACGGGGGGGCGGCAGGACTTGCTGGCCAAGGACAGGCCCCGAGAGCTGCTGGCCGTGTCCCTGGGGCTGGTGACTGTTAGCTGCTCCCCCTGGGGCACCAGGGCCTCCGCACAGAGAAGCTGCCAAAGATGGGCGGGGCCGAGAGCTCAGAGGGTGCCTGCCCTTCCGGGCATGGACGTGCGGAGGAGAAGCCCGGGGTTGGCCTGGGTGCTGGGCGATAGTCTCTGCACCCAGACGGAGAGGGGTGGGAGGGAAGATGGCTGCACGCGACCTCAGTTCCAGGACAGCCCGCAGAGTGCCAGTCTGTGGGGTACGGAGCTGGAGCCCTCACCAGCCCGAGACGCTGGGTCCTGGCTAAGCTGACGGGGCCCGCTGCAGGGTCAGTTTCTGAGCACCCCCCTCTCCACAGGCCCTTCGCCTTCTCTCCCCAGACTCCCCTTGCTGCTGGCTGCTGGCAGATGTCTGGGCTCGGCACATGCCTGGCCAGCTTTCCTGAGCCCCCCAGGGTACAGAGCTCAGCCTCGTCCCAGTCCCGGCCCAGCAGTGATAGGGTGCCTGGCAGCCGCCCTGGCCACTGAACCTCCTGAACTGTTCCGGGAGGTGGCTTTGGGTCAGCGGGCGTCTGCACCCTGGCAGTGGCTGCCTGGGAGCACCAGGCCGGCCTTGGCAGCGACCCTGGCTAAGGCTGAGCCAGCCCGAGCTGCGAGGATGGCCTGCAGGGTGTAACAGAGAAGGGCAGGCTGACCAGGGGCTCTGGTTCAGGAAATCCGGTTTCAGTTTTGCAGGACAAGTAGGAAATGAGCAGGGAACTCCACCGAGCCCTGGCTCTCCCTGAGTGAGCAGGTCCCTCGCCAGGTGGCCTGGAGGATGCTGGGACCAGTGTCGGCAGGACCTGCCTTGGAGATGGAGTCCTTTAGAGCCAAATCTCAGACAGGTGGTGCCTGGGAGCGCAGGGAACAGCAGCGGCCTGCAGAGCCCGGGAGCCAGCTGCACCGGGCGGTTGCCCGCAGGGGGAAAGGGGTGCTGTGATGGAGTCCTCGGGGAAGGAAGCCACCCTAACTGCTTCACAACACACACCAGATCCTCGGTCATACCAGCCCACCCCCTGGGCGATGGGCCTGCTGCCAACTGGGCGCCGGCTCTCCAGCAGCCCCCTCCCTGGGCCCCGGAGCTCTGGCCTCCAGTTGCAATCAGCATCCCCCAGCCCTGGCAGCATCCACAGGCCAGATGGCAGGATTGGGGAGGGGACGTGCAGGGGGAGAGCAGATCAGCCCTAAGGACCCGGCGTCCCTTTCCCTGGGTCTTGGCCAGGTGTCCTTTCGAGTAATGGGAGGGGAAGGGTGGCCAGGACAGAGGCACCTGAGACCCGCCCTGCGTGGGAGAGCAGTGACATCCCTCTCTCCTTTTGTTCCCTGAACGAGCGAACACAAGTGACTTATCCACCCAAGGATCATTTTCCCAGCCCTTCCCCAGCCTGATAAATAATGGGGGAGGGGGGGGCGGTTAGAACAGAACTGCAGGGGCCTAGGGACCACTGGGAGGGGGGGAGTGCTGCAAGGAGCCTATCAGAAGCCATCCTCTCCCCCCTCTCCCCTCCTGCAGCCTTTCCTCAGCCCCTCCCGCCCCGCCCCCACGGTTGCTAGGCAAAGTCTTCCCGAGAGCTGGGAGGTGCTGATGGGAAGGGCGGGGGTGAGGGACTGCAGCGCCGAGCAAACTGGGACTCGCAGCCCGGAGTTCGGGAGCGCGCGGGGGCACGCGCGCGCACACACACGTGCATGGACACGCGCACATACATGCACATGCACACACACATGTACG